AGCTGGGCTCTGGTTTTCATTGTATGTTCCAGCATAATGAGCCTGTCCCTACGCCACAATAAATCTCTCTGAGCTTCCAGTTTCTCAGATTCAACAAGAACACACACATACCATAAGTCATGTACGCCCAGCCCTGACATGCTCGGGTGCCCTGATTCTATGGGCCTCAGGCCTGAGGAGACACAAGAGTTACTGCCAACTAAAACCAGTATACAAGTGACACATACATGTGCTTTTACTGACAGGGCCACAAAAAGAGTGAAGACGACTCAGCTCACATCAAAATTGTATTTGTGGATCGATGTAATTATGAAGCTTACTCTGCTACTCTCATTAGCCTGAATACTTCTAAATCAGATTTTTCTAGTTTGGAATTTCAGACATGCTCAGAAGTATCTGGCATTGTACCATCTGCCCCAAACTGAAACCAGCAAAGGCAAAGAACAGAGATGACACTGACTGTTGACCTCCTTAACAGAAAGCGTATTCCAGACACTTTAGAAATACCTATTTATCTCCAAGTAGTATTACTAATGCGAAGAGAAGTCAAGTCAGTACTGCACAGGTTACAATTTCAGTGCACTGTTCACGAAATATTCTTAATCCTTAAACATAAAACGTCTGCTAAGCCAACTAGAAGGCTATTTCTCCAGTCCTATTCTCATCCCCTCAAATGGCCTTCGATCTGGCTGCATCCATATTGATCTCGACAGGACAGTTACTGAGCTTCCATTCCTGAGCTAACTGCAGACATCCCTCTTTTAATAACTGAGTTCCATTGTTTCTGAGACCGGGTGAGGGGGTCTTTAAGTGCACTGGTTACTAAATGCTACTCTGTACACAGTAGTACATACATTACAATATTCAGAATGAAGAAACGGTCAAAGCAAACTCCAACTTGATACTTTTGCTTTTATTTGCATAACTCTTACATGCAGTACTGTAGTGAATAAAAGAACATAAAACTATAGCATAGTACAATCAGAAAAAAATTACAGTACTGTATAAACAAGGTGTATTGTACAAAAAAAAAGACACTGAGGCTCTATAAACAAGATATATAGAACTGCACCCAAAAAGGAAGACTGAGCGGTCGTAAGTCTGAGCAGCGCATATTAAGTGCAAACAGTGTCGCTCAGTCGTAAGTCTGAACAGTCATTAGCCACACAGGTTGTTAAAGGAGGAATCGCTGTGTGGAGGACCTCCAGGACGGCTCTCTGAAAGAGGAGCTTTTGTCTCCATTTTGGCTAAACCTGGTCCTGATTCTGTGTATTGATATGTACAGAACTGGCTAGGATATTTCTTTATTTCCTCAATTGGCTTTAAGCAATGCAAATGGGTCTACCCAAGGTGCTGACGTATAGCCTTTAAAGCAATGCAACAGGCCCGTGATGCCCCGCCTCTAGCTCCCAAATAGTACGCATGAGGTAGGCCAAGTGACGCCATGCTGTTGGCTGAGACTGAGGCTCAAGAATCTATGATGTCACAGCAAATAAAAGCCAATGATGATGTCACAGACATCAAAGTCAAAGCACCAACCCCAAAACACAAGATACTTTCTCAGTCTGTGATATGCAGACTACTCATATCTCTCTGCATATTGCAGAGGTGCTATCAGGCCTCCTACCTAGCCCAGCGCACGCACTCACGAACTTCCCACCACTATCAGTCACTCATCCCCAAGCCACGCCCCTTTTCACAGATTAATAAAACCCGGTTTGGACCTGGGTCAAGGCCTTTGTTCCTTCCAGTTGGTCATGGTTCTAACTGGACTCAGGACCCCCTTGGCTCCCCACTACTACAGATGTGTATTTATTTCTATATTCTCGCCATGGGTTGCACTGGAAGTGGTAAGTTGGAATTACTTATTGGAATTCCAATACCTTTTCCCTGGGATTACAAATGTGGGCTCCTCCAGACCTTAACAAGGTCCAGAAGGGCTTCCTGTATAGCTGTACCCTTTTTTACATATTCTACTACTCACCCTTTCAACCTATTTAGCTAGATCCTCTTTCCCATTTGTTCCAATTAATAAAAACACTGTTTTTCCTCAACTTGGTGCATATGGAAGGTTCCCACTACCTCAGAGCAAAAGCAAGCAGTAAAGGCTGCTATCTCCAGCTTGTACTCTCTTCTGTTTGCAAAATGCCACATTTTGGTCCCAGCTTGCTACAATGAAGGTATGTGCTGTGTCTTTAGATAATAATATATTGCGCATATGTTCACAGAAAACACACACACACATATACACCTTGGGAAACCATCCGTATACACTGTATTTGTAAGTATATCCTCTATGCATAGAAGTTGTGTAACTACAGGATGGTCTTTCTCTAGTCTCAAAGTACATAAGTCCTAAATTCACAGATGAGTTCTCAGGCTTCAGAGCTGTACCACTAGAAGCCCAGACCACCAAAACACTACTGGCAACATAAGAGACACAGATTCTAAAACCGCAAGTCAGGACACTGGCCTTGGGTGAAAAGAACTGTATTTCTTTTCATTTCTCGTTTTCTTCCACGAAGCCATTTCTCCTTACCATTCCTTATCTCCCTGCATTCGAATTTACTTCCGTAAGACCCTCCAGACTACGAGTCTAAAATCCCAAAGCATGTGTAGTGGACTGACAACTGGTGGTCAACTTATAACCCCCAGCTGAACTGAGTAAGCACGGTGCTGGGTGTGGGAGGCCCACCTGAGGACGGCCGCCAGCAGCATAGGAGGCAGAACTGGAGAAGAAGTGAGGCTGTTGGGAGCTGAGAGAGGCTGTTGGGAGCTGGTAGAAGCTATAAGGAGCTATTGGTTCTTTTGGAGGAGCTCGTCATGCTGGCTTTCCTGATGAACTTGGCCGTTTTTATCTTCTGAGGGGCTCGGGACCTTGTTGGCACTGAGAATAGCTTTGGTTCACTTTGGGGGAGCTCTGATCCTCACTTTGAGCATCACTTCCTGGCTCCGGAAGGGAAGATAGTGCACCGCCAGTCTCCTGGATAAGCCTGCTGCATTGGCTTTCCTGATGGAAACTCAGCTATCTTCACCAGTAGAGGAGCCCGGGACCTCACTGTTGCTGAGGATGGCTGTGGTACCTTTCAGGGGAGCTCTGGTTCTGAGTGTCGCTTTCTGGCTCCAGTGCAGATCCCTCAGCCTGCTAGCACAGATCCTTCATCCTGCTGGCACAGACTTTCAAGATTCCACCACTGAACACTGGGCCTTCCCAGCACAAATCCGTGAAACAGGCCTGCATGAGATGTTGTTACGGGCTTTAGGCCTCCAGGTGGACTCATGGGAGGCACTGTTATGAGCTCTAGATCTTCACCTGGACTCATGCAGGGCACCCGTGAGATCCAGGCCCTCAGCTGGATTCCTTGGTCTTAGTGTGTGGACAGATTCCCTGCACTCTCGTGTATCATTCTTTGGGTGACTATTATAAATAATCTTATAAAATATGTGTCCTGTATTATACTGTTTCACCTTGCAATAACCCCCAAACCACGACACCATGGCAAGTCAAAAATATCACTGAAGAACAAAGAAACAAAGAAATAATTCCTCCTTCACTGATCAATGTAGTTGGAGAGATGAGATTCACACAAAATTGAAGAAAATCACCAGAAAGCACTAAACGCTGGGGTTTTGGTGAAAGATTTGGGTTTACAGCAATGAGACCAGAAAAATCTTCCTGACTATGACAGATTAAGTGTTGACAATGGAGGGGCATTAGGAGTACAAGGTGACTGTGTGATCTGCATCCAATCTGAGACACCGAAGAGTTCAAGAGACTGCTATTAATAACACTCAGGGGAAGCGTAAGCCCCAGCACACAGGGACAGACGGCTTGCCGTGCTCCACAGCCTATGGCCCTGCCTCACATTTCCTCATCAGGCCTGAGGCAGCACACACAATCAGACTCAGTCATACTCCCTCTGTCCCACCGATAAAAAAACACATGCCGAGGAGATCAGTCAAGTAACAACTCAGCCTCACGCAGAGTAACGGCTGCGCTGAGGCTGCCCTTACCACCACCTCCGAACCAAACTGCCTGTCGCTGCGCCATCGCAGCATCAGTAAGGTGCGTCTAACTCACTCACTCAAAGCATGAAATCTGAAATATCGGGAGAAAATATCTGCTTTTAGGTTTTAAATGCAAACACACTTAGGTTCATGTTTTGGATATTTCACCTAACAGACTTTTTGATTCTTATTTCATAATTTTTTTACAGTGTTTCATTCCAAATAATCTAAATATAGGCAAGGGTTCTAGAAAACAATGTAAATGAATGGCAGGGTTAGCTTTAAAACTCTCCTAACAACTCAGTCAAATTCAAGCTCTCCGTTGTAATATACTTACAATAACATGTCTGAATTCTAAAATAAGGATTACAATGCTGTCACCCACCCTACAATAAGTAATAAATGATTAAGGAATGTTTTATAGAATGACTGGACAATAAACTATCCCCTAGTGTGGTAATTCTCAAACATAGCTGTATATAAGAATCACCCAGAGCTTTTAAAAAATATATATATAGGAACTGCAGGGTTCAGTAGTAGAGCTCTTGCCTCACACACCTTAGGCCCTAGGTGTGACCTCCAGCACCGTAAAAAGAAATACACACACCCTTCCAATCTTTACCCCGAGACTTACTGCATCAGGGTCCCAAAGCGTGGGCCTAGAGGAGGATACTTTTCAAATTCTCTAGGTCACACTGAGGCCCAGCCCATCCAGCCCCAACCCCAACCCGAGCAGCCAAGACTCCCAAGATAGATCCTCAAGAAACACCCAACTCACCTGCAACCACAGCTGTACCACTGCACTCCCAACCCCACACCCACGTGACTTCTCCCCGCGTTGTCTTTCCCACCCTTGGCGATGCAGTAGCGTCTCACACTGACAAGCAGCTAAAGACAGACAACTGTAACCCAAGAGCAGTGGGCAGATCCTACTCACTCCTCCTCAACATGAAGATCACAACAAAAACTAGGGTGTGCCTGCCGTCTCTTACCACACGCCGTGGACTGTGCCAGCCACGGCACGCGTGATCTCCACACTGCAGCAGCCTGTAAGGTGGGGTTCTCCTCAGCCTCCAACACGGGCCAGGCCCTTCGACTCAAGGACAGACAGCATCCACTCAGTGCCTTACACAGAGGGAAGTCTACCTGAAAAGACAGGGATGGCAGCAGTTCTAAGAGGAGGGGACGATCATGCCTTGAGTAAAAGGCTTAAATCAAACGGTGGGATGTTTTCTACAACAGAGAACACTGACATAAAGTTCAGAAATCATAAAGTTCCAGGACAGCATGGAAATAAAATAACCAAGGAGAAAACAACCTTCCTTAGATAGAACACTCAAGACTGCGCTCTTTGCTTAAGTGGTTTTCAAGATAAACAGGAGTATCTGGGTTAGTGTGGGTAAAACACAACTGGAAAGTATTACAACTTGGGACATGTGTGATGAGAGGGGCCTTTCCTGAGGACAGGACAAGCACAACACTACTCAATAAAAACTGATTTTAAAGTCTGACACAAGTTCGAATCCCACTCACTACTCTGTGACTTTAAGCCAATTATCTCATCTGCCTCACTGTAAAATGAAAATAACCACATCTCCACCTAACCAGACTATGAAGGTAAGAAAGGGACTGACCACGCACAAGCATCCAATTCCATTCCCTCCCGAAACTCTGCTAAAACGTATGCATTCTTTGGAGAAATATATAAAATAAACCTAGTAAGACTTTTTATTTTAAGTGGAGATCCACAAATAAATGAAGGAAGCAGCATAGGAGAAAACTGCAATGACCTTGTGATGGAAGCAGCATAGGAGAAAACTGCAATGACCTTGTGCAGAAAATCACTTGAAACCCACAGAAATGGAATACCAAGTGGACAGCGGCAAAGGCCAGGGATACGTCAACGTCCACCCAGAGATGTCAGAAGTCACACTGCAGGCAGAGTCTCCACACACGCGGAAGCATACAGCCAGGCGGAAGCAGGGCCAGGGAGAGTTATCTGAGGGACAGTCCCTTGCCCACTCCACTCCAGCAAGGTCCAGACTGGCACCGTCCACAAAATGTCCTGTAGTCACGGAAATGCTCCGTGCCCATGCGGTCCACTACGGCAGGCACCAGTCACAGGCTGCTGTTGGGCACTTTCTATGTGGCTAGTGGGGCAGAGGAACTGTCTTTTAGCTTTATTGAGGGTTAATTTAATGGAATGGAGGCTGGGGTATACCTCTGTGTTACAGCATGTTCTCAGCATATAGAGGGCCGTTTTTAATCCTCAGCATCAAAAATAGATACTCGATAAATAAAAACAAAGTCAAATGGTTACCATGTGGCCAGTGGCTGCTTGATTATAGGGCAAGCTGGGTCTAGACTTAGGTTCTGGACAGGCAAACCACGGGGGACCTTAGGCCCACAGAAAGCCGGCCTGCCCACACACCCTGCGCTGCAAGCAGCACCCTCTTCCCTACATGGATGGCTCGGGGGTGCTGGCAGCCAGGTCCAGCCCTCGGGCGAGGGCCTGGACGCGGCTCTCTGGGGCATGTGACCACCCACCAGGCAGACCCAGGGACACAATGATGCTGGGTGTTCCCTGTGCCAAGCCTTGCTCAGTCACTCTCCAGTGAAGTTCAAAGTTCATAAGCCCCAGGCAGTCACCCTCGGCCTTCCCTGTTTATTCAAGAACACAAAGCCAAGGTAAACAGGGCTAAAGGAAGCCTCTAATGCAGGCAGGCAGTCTGAAGGAGGTAGCTCAGAGAACGGTTACCGGGAGAGAGGGAAACTTTAAGATGAGTGTCTTCAGAGACACGTAATAATCCTTTTTATTTATCAAACAGGCGTAAGTCGTTTCTTCTTTTATGTACCATTTCTGAGAACCAAAAGGGGAAAAAAAGCTCTTGAATATTAACAACAGAATGAAAAGGAGACCTGGAAAAGCTCCTATGGAACTTTCTAGATTGATAGAAATGTTCCCTATTTGCTTTGCGTGGGCTTGCCATTGAGTACACACTGTCAAAACTAAGCCAAATAAACACTCAAGATAGGTACACTTCATGTAATTTATTCTTGAATTTTTATAAGCTCAATAGAAAAGTTTGAGGACAAATTTTAGCTTAAAAAACAGCAGTCTGAAAATAAGAGAGAAGTAAGCAGTAGTCACACATGTGAGTTGCTGTAGAAACTCCTGAAGAGTTCCTAGGTAAGACAGTCAAGGCGGGGAGCGAGCCACCAGCAGTATCAGGTGAGAAGGAGCTCCTGCAACGCCAGCCCTGCGCACTCCTGGGAAATCTCAGAACATTAGAAACACTGGAAATCTGTCAGCGTCCCAAACAGAATGAACTGGTAATACTCAAGTGATCAAGAAGTGAGAATGTTTTCAGGCTTTTTAAGGACACCATGGACCAACTCCCTCCACATCCTGGCGGGAGCAGCCTGCAGTTCAGATCCTCGGGAGTGGGGAGGGAGGTCACCTGAGCTCATGCTCAAGACCACTCTAGGCAACACAGTCAGCCCTCATCTCAGAAGAAAATAAAACAAACAGGAGAAACCATTTCCCACCCAGAAGTTCACAACCAGCCAAATTATAGGTATGAAGGACAGTCAAGGCATACTAGGACATTGCAGATCTCAACAACGTACCTACTGGTACCCTCAAGAAGCCAGAATGCAGGAAATAAAGATTAAACAAAGAGGAGAAAAAAGGAACTCCCAGAGGGGCAAAACAGCACTCTAGGGGAGTGTAGTGAGACAGGGACGGCCACCTGAGGGCTGCCATCAGGACCCCAGGGGCTGCATGCGATCTGCACAATCCTACTGAGGCTGAACCAAAAAAAAAAAAAGGTGGGGGCTGGGGATTTAGCTCAGCAGCACAGCACCTGCCTGGCAAGTGCAAGGTTGTGAGTTTGATTCCTGGTACTGGAAACCACCCCCCCACACACCAAAAAAATACTACAGAGGCTGGCTCTTCTCCCTGTGCTGTGATGTTCCTAGTCTCCCCGCTATGTCCTGCTCCGTGCATCAGCGGGTCTCTCTACTCCACAGCACAGCACTGTGCTGGGCCTGCTGGTAAGCTGGACAGGAGCCAGGGGACCCAAGAAGCAAACACACAGTCCAGAGCAGCCACTCTCCTCGCCTATCCGCCCTCCGAGCTCCCGACGACAGCCTACTGCAGTCCTCCAGACACCCGCCGCTACAAGCAGCTGTCTCCCACGACCCACTACTGACCTTTACATTGACTCCCCAAAAGGTCCTGCAACCCCTCAACTCTGAACCCTGACTTGCCCCAGAGTTTATTGATCTAAGGGTGATGATTTCAATCGAAGGCTCTTATAGTTTAGATCTAAAATGTCCCCCCTAAGTTTTGTGGATGTGGTTTTAGGTTCTGGCAACAGAGATGTGCCTGGTAGTTACAAGGTGGTCATCCAAATAACCCACAATTAAATGTATGTTTAGATTATCACGGTAATGGAAATAAAACAAACTTTTTTTAAAGTTTCCTGTATTTGGAAGGTGACTGGCTCACGGGGCTCTCACAGCTGAAGGTGCTGTTAGGAGGTAGGGTGGTCGGTGGCATCGGGTGTGACCTGGAAGGGCGCATTCTTGTCCCTGGCTCCTCCCTTCTCTGCTCTGCTTCCTGTCATCATGGTCTGAGCAGTAGTTCTCCTCCAGGCCCTTCCACCATGCTACTCCACCTTGAAGCCACAGCGCATGGACTGAGTCTTCTGAAAGCTGTGAGCCAAAATAAACCTCTCCTCTTTCCCACAGGTACCAGGTGTTAGCCATTTTGTCCCCGCAATGGGAAAGTGACTAACACAGAGACCAAGAAGCTCTTCTCCTGAGAACCTGCATCTAACTCCATCTGTGCTTCTATTCAGGACCTAACACGCCGGAAGGAAGGGCACGCTTAGTGCAGAAGTGGGGGTGGCTACCACTCTGAGGGGAGTGGATGGGGTGAGACACCTAAAAATGTTCTCCTTTCTAATCTGAATAGTAATTACAGGGGTATTTTTACCTACCTATACCCTTACATTTTAAAGTGTTCTCTATGTTGATATACCTTTCAAATTTAAGAAATCCCCTCCCAGAAAGATTAAATAAGCAGATGCATTTAGAGCCCCAAACACTAGGGGAGACCCTACGTAGATACACGTTCTCAACCTTCTCCTCTCCAGCTCCCAGATACTATGGTTCTCGTCAGATGGTCACAAAGGCTGTAATCTCCTAAAGCCCAACCTGGCAATAATCCCTCGACCTTCATCATGTGCCAGCCTAGGCCACTATCTACTGACAATGTATGCCTCCTTAAATACGGAGACAATAGAAATGGGAAAAATTAGGGCTGGGGAGATATCTCAGTGGCTTAAGTGCCTGCCTGGCCAAAGCAAGTTCCTGAGTTCGATTCCCAGTACAAAAAAAAAAAAAAAGAAATGGGAAAAAAATCACTACTTTTTCTAATGAGTCTTTCCTACCCTCAGTCTTCCATTGCCTAGCATGAAAACACTGGAGGTGGACCTGGTGGTGTGCACCCACCTGTAATCCCAGCACTCCGGGAGGCTGAGGCGGAAGGACTGTAAATTCAAGCCCAGCTTGGGCAACTTAGTGACTTAGCAAGGCTCTGTCTCAAAATAAAATTAAAAAGCGAGGGGGCTGAAGCTCAGTGAAAGGTCCTGGGTTCCATATCTAGTACTGAAAGAAAAAAAAGGTCTTAAATCATATGGGGGTTGGAACCTAATTAACACACTAGATTCTCTCAGGACAGGGTCAAGTTCTTAGATGGGGTTCTTCTACCACTCAAAGCCTTCCCACCTCCAGCATCTGCCTAACACAGGACCTGGGCCCAGAGTGAAAAATTTAAATGCATCCCACTATTTAAAAAAGATGATAAAAAGAATACCAAACAGGACCACCATGATTAGTAGAAAATATCCAATATAAGAAAGGTAAAATTCATTGTGATCATCCCTGATTTACTGAACCAAGCAAAGCTTGTAAGCATAAAGAACAGGCATGGTATTAAGGATAATCTTTGAAACTTATTTCCCAGTTTGAAAAGGAGTAATCAGACTTAAACGAAATGAACTATACTCTATGTGTAATAAATGATGGTAGTGGGAACCTTCTCATGCAACAGTAACTGAATCTTGGTC